CATTCGACGGAAATCACGTTGCGCGGTACACTCAATGATAAACTTCTTTCCCATATTTCAAAGTGGTTGTTAGCTGTGCAATCTATTCGTGATTTTCTGGCGAAAAATGTGTACGATTAACTCTGTAGAGATCTACTCTTTTGTTTGCTTTTGTTGTTATCAGTGCATATCACGACAGCTTGATACATTCCCTATGGCCAGTGTCGGTAAACGTAAGTGACGGATTAAGTTCAACAGTTGACCCACAAATTGAAAGTGCATCGCTCAAACAGTCAGGGACTCGTCAGACCCGGGTTATGACGACCTTTGGTCAATGACCTGTTTAAGTTCATCGGTGATCTGGCAAGGGCAAGTGCGATTATCGTTCATTCATTCACTCAAGCGCGTCCATGAGGCGGCGTTTATCGCTTGGATCTGACACCTGACCTCTTAGGTCACACACCGGTTAACCAGAGAATCGCGATTATTGTTCACTCGTTTACACGTTAGTGAGACAGCCCACCGAATGGCCGTGGCTTTGGTGACTACTCCAAGAAAAATAACCAGAATAAGGTGCCCAAAGAATTGTAGGAAAAAATCTTTGATTCGACACGAGGCGATTTCTTTTCAAAACGTTCATCAATAGACACATTGTGAGTAAAGTCTTCAACCAGATCGCATTTTTCCTCTGGTGGCGGCATCATTGGCGGATTCAACGTGTGTTTGAACCCTGTTTTTATGAAAGCGTCGATCAGTACTTGTGGATGCACAGACATACAAGTTTTCTTGAAGAGATGCATGACCATGAGACTGACCACTTCGGCTTTTGTGCTAAGTTGCTCATCTTCGACAAAATAAACGAATCGTATTCCGGTAAATATGACCAGAACGAACATTTGAAAAACCAAATCACACAGTGGTACATTGGTTTTAACACTGGAAACAGTATGGAGGCAGCCTTAATAGTTTGACATTGGAGAATACTGCGGCTTCGTTATGGCAAGGGGCGTTATCTATAGATAGTAAAATAGAACGTCTTTGATAAACTCATTTTGAGGTTGAAATCGGATGGCCCATCTAGTTCGTACCAAAGACAAAACATATTCCAGTAAATGTTTCCAAAACGAACATTTGAAAGACCAAATAACACCTTGATCACCTTGATCCACTGGTTGTAATATTAAAGAACATTTCGGAGGCAGCTATACTGCTGTGACAGTGTCGAATACTGCATCTTTGTTATGGCAAGGGACGTTATTTATACATAGAAAAATAGAGCTTCTTTGAAAAAAAAACATCTTGTGGTCGACATTCGACAGCTAGTTATGAAATAACACAGAAGTGATCCACGGGTTCCTTGAAGAATTATGACTGCAGGGATGGCTTTTTCTGTTTATACCTCGGAGATATCATGGAGTTTGAAATTTTCCATTAACCAACGGTGATAACTCAGTAACGTGACTATTTCTTTGGATATCTTGGATACATAAACTGTTTTTCTTTTAATGCTAAATGTTCTTTCTGGGAGCTGATTGTAATACAATGCTGTTTCAGCTGCATTGAAAATGTCACAGTCAGCGGATAAAGTGGATAAAGTGGAATATGAAATGAAGTGGGATAGGTTTGTGCTGTAGTCAACCAGTTCTGATTGATAAGATACGGAAACAGAAATGGCGATATCATCAGCATACTTAAAATTTCGAACGGGGGAGTAATAGATAAGTCATTGCTATAAGTAGAAAAAAATAGGATGATATAACAGCACCTTGAAGTACACCCGAGCTATTGAGTTGTGCGGTTGATTGTCTTCTTCCCTATTTTACATGCTGCTATCTCAGCAAGCCACTCAAGAAGAGAAGCGGGACAGCTAAAAGATGGAAGCTTGTTAAGTAAAAGAGAACGGGGCACCGAGCCAAAAGCGGAAGAATAGTCCAGAAACTCACAATGCATAAATTTGGCTTTCTCGTTAGGGGACTTACAGATGAAATGAACTAGAGAAGAAACGCATCTAATGTTAAGCGATTATGTTTGTATGCAACCTAATAAATGTTATCGGGGGTGGTAAGGGATAACTGAAGACGATGCAGAACTGATCGCTCCATCAATTTCAAACCAGTGAAAGTGAGAGCAATTGGTCTGAAACGCTTCGCTATTTGGGCCTTTGAGGTTCATTTGGGGATGAAAGTAATTCTCACTGGATGCCATCAGCCCGGAGTAGTTCGGAGTTTGCGTGAAAGATTAGCTATGTGTGCAAAAATTGGAGACAGTGGCATTGCACCGTGTTTAAGAAGGGTAGGACTTAAGTTGTCTAAACCAGGTGCGATCGACACCTTGAGAGAACGTACGTCTCACTAGAGATGATGGGATCAAACGAAGGTTGAATGTTTGGAGAACTGGAATCAACATAACTGGGGTGTGTCGGGCGAAGAACGAACAAATGCAGCATTCAGTTTTTCAATATCAATAGAGAGACTGGAAGTCACTTTTTCTGCCTGCAGANAACACTTCTGTAAGAAATGTCATATTGGACAAGCAGGTTGTGCTTAAAGGAAAACAATCGGTAACTACCTTAAGAGACTATCCAAGCAAAGCAATATTGTCTGCGGAAAGATCTCGCTGACGGAACATGAATTGCTTTCTTACGAATGATGCTCTCCATCATGGAGAACTCACCGTGCTTTCCACTCATAACAGTAAAACAAGCCAAGGTTGCCTCGTTCAAATTTCCGTTGGTTTTCAGCTGGCATCTTTCCTGAGATGCTCCAGCGGTCACAAGTTATCCGATAGTGGTTCGATGGAATATAACAATGTAAACAGTTTTTCTTGAAAAACGAAGTGA